AGTGTTTAGAGGAAGTCTTGAATGGATTTGCATTAAGCTTAGTTTACCTCATAATGTATTTGGATTATAGATTTTAAAGAAAAAAAAAACTCATTTTCCTTCCATTAGCACCAGGCAGGGTGCTGTGAAATACAATATGCTGAAATTTCTCTCCATCATCAATCATTTTACAGTTATCTTCAAGAAAATTCTCAAAGGAAAAGACAATTCAGTATCTGCAATGAAAGTTCCCTTGAAGACATCCTCATACAATGACAAAGTGAATATCACAAATTCATTTTACAACACTACTTCCCTATCAAGATATTAGTGAATTCTTTTTTTCCATATCAAAATTTAGAAGATTGTAAATATTGTTGTTGTTGTAATATTTAGATGATTAGATCTTCCCCTCTGTCGCAAGTTCAATTCCAAAAAAGACAAAAAACACTACATAATTTCTTCTCATCTATATCCAAGCTTGGTGGACAGAGTTACCCAGTTCTTGTGTTGGTGGGAGGTAGCAGATATCCCGTGAAATAAGTCGAGGTGCGCACAAACAAGCTTAGACACTACGCTTATCAAAAAAGATATTTAAAAGATTAGATCGTCTGAGTCAATCTCAGGGCTTTCAAATACCAAACATAGTATAAAATGGCTTGGCATGGGAAGGTCCTCTTTCATGGGTGTTGTATTGTATTATTCGCAAGTTTCCCAATATGCAAACTTCTGCTATAGAGAGGTCCTATACGTAAGGAACACATTCAACTCCCCCCCCCCCCTTCATTTTCCCCCATCCCCCCAAACAACTTGAACAATAGACAACTATTAATGAAGCACCACTCAAGTTACTATCAGCTGATACATTATTTTTGCAGTATCCACCATGCTACTATAGTTCAATTAGAAATGGTAATCATGACACCTGAAGGCTTGCACGCACTACTCTATTGGCAGTCTGCTATTGCCAACAAGAGAAAGTGCAGGGTGAACCTGTCCACAAAGACTGGAGGAAATTGGCCTGGATGTTATACTTCAATTATTATTTCTACTATAACCCAATTCAAAACATTTCTTCTTCAGTTGAGCTATCCATCAACCAAAAACAAACAACCAAACTACTGTTTTTTATACATTTCGTCCTGTTCCTTGTCAGGAAGCCCCAATGTTATATGTTTTTTTAATAACCGTGATGTCCGGGACAGCTTACGCATACTTCAACTAATTCCACTGGAAATGTGCCACCTCCCAATCTCACTCCATCAACAGGTACTAGGTAACTCTGTCCACCAAAGCTAGAACAAATGAGAATAAATCACCTAGTGTTTTTGTCTCTATTTAGATTTGAACTAGAAACCTCATGGTGCTCGACCTACTTCATTGACCATTAGGTCACACCCTTGGGTACGAAGCCCCAATTTTTTCTAACCCTTCCAAAAGCAATAGAATAGTTCTAAGCTCAAATAACCCCCAATTCTTACCCATCCCAAAATCAAATCCTATTAGTAAATCTCTAACACGAATCCTCTACTAAACCCTAACTTATACCTACCTAAACCCATAACATAGAAGAATCTTAGTAGCACAGTTAGTTGATTACTATCTAAACTTTCACCTTGTTTCTAGGCCCAAACAACCACCAATTCTTACCCGTCCCAAACCAAATCCTATAAGTACAATCTTCCCATAAACCCTAACTTATAGCCACATATACCCATAGCATAGGAGAATCTTCGCAGCTCAGCTGGTTGACTTATTAACTGAACTTTCACCTTGTTTAGTGAGCACTCAATTCCTCACCTTACAATCATCTCCACTTTACAAAAAGACAAAAAAAAAAAAAACATAGCATGCACACACACACAAATAAAGTCCAAATACAACAAAAAAACAAACGAAATTCGCAGGAATTAAATCGAATTCAATGAGAACCTGAAAAACGGGAAGAGCAACGAACTGTTCAAGCTTAAGAGTAAGCTGATGCCAGAGCTTCCTCTGGTACAGATCTGCCAAAGTAGTGTACCAATCGGAAAGCTGTGAATGAGCATTGCAAAACGATTCCAAGTACTGAAGTGCCGCCATGGCTGAAAAAACTCTCTCAGTAACACCGATGAAGACGAAGCAGCTACTGTGTGTGTATGTGAAAGAGAGAGATTCCTGACTTGTAAATTGTGTTTTGCTTGTTCATAAAGAAATGAATAATGGAGTTTGGGTTAGTCCAGTTTAGTCTCTATTGTATTACACTGACCCCTATAATCCTTCAAGTTTACAAAAATTAATTGTTTTAGGTCCAAAACGTTTGGATTGAATATGAAAATTTTAATTTAGAAAATAAAAAAATTATAATTCAAATATAATCAAAATAAATTTAGATTGAATTTCTTAAATTTAATCTTGATCTTTTAGATTTTTGATTTTAACTTTTGAGTCCTTAAGGTTAGACCATAAAAATTAACAATCTCAATTTATCTACCATTCATGTTGTGTATTAAGTGTTACTTATTCATAAAACTTGTTTATTTTTATCTAATTAATAGTGATAAAAATATATGAGGTTAGAGACTATTATATAATTATTTAATGTTAATCAATAAAATCATATGATGATATTTAATATGATAATGGTTAGTATGAACATTGAATATTTAGAAATTAGACTTATTAATATTTGACATATTATATATGAAAATAGAACTAAATATCACACTTATGAATAGTTGTTTCTTTAGGGGGCTAATTTCGAAAGGGCCTAGAATATGGAGGGCTCTTTCGCGATGTAAGAAGATAGATTTTTTTGCATCACAATGATAAAGCAAAGAGTAACTTTCACATATAGCAAACACAAAATTCATAATTGTAGGTTATAGCAAAGTTTGAATAATTGTGCTCCATAGCAAACATATATATGTATAATTCGCTATACATATACAAAAAAAACAGTTGTATAATTCGCTATACATATACAAAGAAGGCAGTTGTATAATTCGCTATACATATACAAAAGAAAGCAGTTGTATACAAAAGATCAATTGTATAATCTGTGTATGTATAAAACGAGAAAGAGAGAAAGGCAAAAGAAAACTGGACAGGGAAAATTTTGTATTGTATAATTATAAGTGTATAGGACGAAGATATATGTATTTGCATATGTATATACAATTTTCTCTCGCTTTATACAAACAGAAGCGCAATTTATACATTTCGTTTCTGTTTGTATAAGCGAGAGAGGCGAGTGAGATTTGGGAGAGTGGCGAGTGAGATCTGGGAGAGGGGAGAGAGGGGAACGAAAATATATGTATATATACAATTTCCTCTCGCTTTATACAAACACAAACACATTTTATACATTTGTGTTTGTATAAAAGCGAGAGAGGCGAGCGAGACTGCCACCAAACGAGAGTGGCGAGTGAGATTCCACCAGAGAGAGTGGCGAAAATAGCAATAGTTTGCTATAGGGTACAATTAAATCAAAGTATATTTATAACATTTAATTTGAATAAACAGTTTGTTATTATATACAATTTTCCCTAAAGCAAATACCATATCAAGTTGACTATATTGAAGCAAAGAAAATTTTAGGATTGTATATTAATAATAATTTCAAATTAATATTCTAATAATAACTGAGTTTATAATTAGTATTTATAATTTTTTCAATATATATAGGATTTGAGCAAAAGTTATTAAATTTACATGAATTTGTAATCGAATTTCTAAATTATGTTTTCATGCCTAGGAAACAAATACATCCTTGGCTTGGGGAGTGCTCTCTCTCTCTTTTGTGTCAGCGAAGGAAGGATAAGAGCAATCGGCCGAATGATTGTTATTCCACTTATGGTTACAGTGCCTCTATCGAAGCAGAACAGGTCTAATACTCCAGCCCCGGTTTTCGAAGATTCCATTTCGGTCTAAGCCCGGAAACTCATATCTTTATATACGAAATTTACTTCTTCTTTTTTTTAACTCTTTTTTTAAAGAATTCTTTTTTAAAAAAAAGGCCTACGACTTAAAGCTCTTCCCTGACCCCAGAAGTTCAAAGACAAAGTCAAGAATTTCACTTAGATCATACAAAATTTAATATATATTTATAAGAAACAGTTTTTAATCTATATACACAATATCATTTTTTTAACACACAATCTAATTTTGGGATAAAAAGTGATCAATGTATAATTAATTAAGGATATTCAACTGACTATTTTAGCTACATCATTGTTTAAGACTTAAATTCGAAATATTTAATTAAGAGTGAAGGATGTTCATCACTCACGTCACCGGCTTTATAATAGTTGACTTAGAGTGGAGAGTTTGACTCTGAGCCAGAGAATTTGATGAGTCTACATATGTTTCGTGGGTGCTAGTTTAAATAGTTTCAAGAGTTATATATCCTTAATGTATCATAAGTAAATTATAAACTATGTAGATAATATAAATACTTCTATTTTATTTTTATACGTGACTTTTTTATTATTGTAGTTTTTTTCTCAACACTTGCTGGTATTATGCTTAACTTGAGTCGAGGATTTAGTAGAATTAAATGGTCTACCTTCACAAGGTAGAGATAAAGTTGTGTATACACTATCTTTCCCAGATTACTTCACTTGTGGATTCCGCATTGACTATGTTGTTGTTTATTGTTGATTATGACGATTATATAGAGCAGGACCATATTACATACTTGACTCAATTGCACACATATACTATTGATTGTTTTACTTGAATGCCTTAAAGAAATATCGTAAATGCTTATCCTCTTGATGTTGTCGGAATTAACAGTAATAAGATATTGACTTGATAACAGTTACATCACAAAATTTACAAAATTCAGAATTGCAAGCTCTTGATCGGAACTTTCTTTGGTTCCCAACTTACTAGAAGTGGAAACATTTTTTTGTCTTTTGATTTATTGGAAATTTACTAGTTCGATAAATTCAAATTCACATTTTATAGAGCCGACTAAAGGGAATGGAAGATCTGTCCATCAAGACTTTGGTCATTTCATAAGACTGATCTAGTTCAAAACTCTGATTAAAGATTGACATTAAAATCATCCAAATTCCACAAGCCAATATCCCACATGATGTCTTCATTAGATGAGGCATCAGGCACTGGCACATAATTAGCATATCCATTAATCATAGAATAGAAGAAACCACCTTGCTCTTGTTCTTGAAATGTGTTGTTTTGGTACAAAATGGTCATGTCTTCTTGCTTTGGTACATGACTTGGAACTTTATTCTCATTTTCTTCAAAAAGTGACATGATCTTTTTCATGTCGATTTGACTATTCAGTAGTTGTTGTTGTTGAAACTGTTGTCTTTTTAAAAAATGGACTTTTGTTTTTTCAGAATTTTCAGTACTTGATTTCTTGAACTTCTTTTTGAAATTAGTCCTCCAATAGTTTTTAATTTCGTTGTCAGTTCTCCCTGGCAAGCTTCTAGCAATTGTTGACCATCTGCAATTTTATTATTTTTATCGTGTTAGTATTATTCAAAATTATTTTGATTCTTTTAAGAATAATCAAGAACTTTAGTGTATATTGAATATTAGTATATAGTACTTCAAATAATTACCTATTCCCCCATATAGCATGAAGTTCAAGAATGATCCTCTCTTCATATGGAGTAATTTGCCCCCTCTTAAGGTCTGGCCTTAAGTAATTTACCCATCTCAATCTACAACTTTTTCCATTTCTTTTCAATCCTGATTAGACAAAGAAATAAAAAGAATCAGATTTTCAATTCCCAGAAACTACACGATCATATAGCCAAAGAAAATAAATCGAGTTTTAAATTTCAAGGAACTACACCATCATATAGCCAAAAAAATATAGGCAGCGTCTAAAATTATATTATTTCAAATACGAGCTCTACCGCTAATTAATACAGCTATTAGTTTTTTTTTTTCTTTCTAAAAGTTCCTATCAAGATGAGAAATTTTCTGATCATAATCGATCAAAGTGAATGAGAAGGAAATGGTACATATATACATCATTATTTTTTGTATTCTAATCGGATGTTTGATATTATTATTGGGACTGATTATATATTCAAATGAAAGAATCTTATTCATTCCTTCACTCGATGATAGGTAAAAAAGAGTTAAAATAGAGAAAATATAGTAATTACCTGCAAGCCTAGCAACAGAATTCCATCTGCCTTCACCATGCAAATTGACATATTCAATGAGCAATTTGTCTTCTTCAACTGTCCAAGGACCTTTTCTCCATTCTTCTTCAATAATTCCCCACCTAATTCCCATTTTTGTATAAATATTATTAATTATTAAAATCAATATATAAGAGAGGAAACAATCTAATCTAAACTCTTTTGTCCTCAAAATTCTATGACATAATTAGCAAGTTATGTTGCTATTTATATTTGCACCAAAAACTCACTCATTAGTCAAATTTTTATGACAAATGAGTTGTAGCTAAACATGACTCCATTAATTATAGCACTTAGTATAAAATATTATTTGTCCTCATCAATTGTTATATTTCCAAAATAGTTACGTGTACTTGTTATAGTTAACTACGCTTAGAAAATTCAAATAAGGCATTGAAAGATTTGTTTGGAAAACCAAGGGAAGTTGTAACATCACACGTATACAATTTTGAGACAATTTTATTTCATGACTTTTCTACAATAATAATAAACCCTTTCGTTCGATGATTATTTGCATTAAATTAACCCATAAAAACATTTTTCATTGTTATCTATTTGATGTCTAATATTTATATTGGATTTAATTCGCATTGGAAGTCTTCTGTTGGGGTAAAGCACTCTCAATGACACTCATATTGGTATCAGACAAAGTTCGAATTCGTGTTGAAAATTCTAATATTGAGGTTAAAGCACTTTCATTGGTACATTGTATTGGGATCAAAATAAATTTTAATTCATGTTGAAAAATCTCAAATTTGAGATAAAGTGCTTTCATTGGTACTCATATTGGCAATCAAACTACATTTGGATTCACGTCGAAAAGTCTCAAAATTTAACGCAAATTATTTCCACTAGGACTCGTATTGAAATCAAACTGAATCTGAATTTGCGTTAAAAAATCGCATATTAGGAGTAAAACAATTCTATTGAATACTCGTATTGGAGGTAAAGCGCTCTCACTGTAGATACTCGAATTGGGATCATACTTAGTCTGAAATCGCATAAGAAAATCTCTCACAAGCACTCTATTGTGGGTAAAGCACTTCCACTGGTACTCATTTTAGGATCAGACCAGATCTAAGTTTACATCGAAAAATCTTATATATGGGACCAAGTAAAGCATTTTCATTGCTACTCATATTGAAATCAAATTAAATTCAAATTTGTGCTGAAAAGTTCATATCAGGTGAAGTTCTTCCACTGAAATTCATATTGGGAAGAGACAAATTAATTTTAATTAGAATTGTAATGTCTCACATTAGGAATAAAGCACTCCTAACAAAAGCGATCTAAACATAAAACTTTTTAATTAAAAATAAAGTATTTATCACCTCACCACAATAATTCTCATTGCTAACTTATAAAACTTGGCTATTGTTGACTGCCAAGAGATTGGGTGACATGGTAGCATGCATCTTGATCAAAGTCACCAAAGTATATTTTAGTTATTAGGTTTAAACAACACAAAAGTGATTAGGCCACTCAAAAGAGAGGACTAGAAAGGCCACGTATAAGTTACAACCTAGGGTAATGCATCTAGACAACTATATACATATTTAAATAATGTGTTTTGCTACAAATAATTAAGTTAGGAAAATTAGTAAAATAAACAGTGGATAATTTTCAATGTGAAAGCTACTAGCAATCCAATAAGAAAGAGGCAAGTGTTTGATTTGCTTACTTCTTAAGGATATTGGTGCACAATAATCACCACCATGTGATAATTAATTATAATTTGTTGGATGCCATTTTGGGTAATGGGATTCATTAGAATAACAATATTTTTCACTAATTATATTAGCTGAAGTAACAGGTGTATTGTTCATGTCATGATTTTGGAAGTATACATAAAGGCCTAGATTCTTGCTTTTCTTAGTTATATATGTATTTTTTGTACTTCTATTTTTGAAATATATAAGTTGTATTAATACAACTAGGGGTGTTCACGGTTTGGATAAAAACCGATCCAAATCGATAAAATAAAACCGATTTTATTTAGGTTTGGTTTGGTTTAGTTTTAGATTTTTGAAAACCGATAGTATTTGGTTTGGTTATGATTTTATTCGAAAAAATCGAAGAAATAACCGAACCGATGAATTATATACATATATTTTACTAATATACATACTTACTATATTATTTTTATAAACAATTTTAAAGATCTTATACATATTTTCATTAAAATTTCTTTATAATTTACTTATTGAAAGCAAAAATGCCCAAGATGAAACATTTATCTTATTGATTTCATGTATATGAGTGTCTATGTCAATTCTTTGTGGGACTGAAAATGTTATTGTCTCTTCCTTCTAGGCCAATATAGTGAATTTTACAGCTTTATTGATAGTAAATTTAGTGATTGAAAGTTTAGTAATTTAAGTCATTCTAGCTATTTTTCTTTTTGAATGGATTGTTGTCACTTTTTTCACATTTTAAATGAATTGTTTCTTTTATTTTTGTGTATGGTTAATAACCGAACCAAACCAAACCGAAACCGATAATCACCAAACCGATAAGTGTATATTATATTTGGTTTGATTTGATTTTGATTTTGACCAATAACCGATCCAAACCAACCCGTGAACACCCCTAAATACAACTAATATATATGGATAGAAGTGGAAATAAAGTAAATGAACACAATTTCCTCCATTTTATTCTTTATATATCCTTAAGGGGTGCTCATGGTTCGATTTAAATCAATTATTAATTAAAATTAAAACCAAATCAATTTTATTAATTTTTAAATTTCTTACCAAATCAATACATTGGTTTAGTTATTGTCGGTTTGATACAATTGATTTGGATTTTTTGATCTTTTTTCGATTTGTTGAAAGCATACACATCTCGATAGAGACAAACACCTAATACATAAACAAAACAATTGTTGTAGATTCTATATAAGCTATGTAGATCCTATATAAGCTAGCAATATTATAACTATTAAGAGTTATTATTACATGAACATAATATTTTAGTTAAGAATACTAAAATCATTGTACACTAAAATTTTAGAATTTGAAAAAATGATAAGAGTTAAAAGACTTAAATTACTTAAAATATAACAAAACAGCATATTTTATTTATAGATAATATATATAAATAAATAAATAATTATAAAATAATTAAAATGCAGATTTTTTTTTTAAAAAAAAGTAAAACCAAAACCAATACAAATAATATCATTTTAATTAATTTGGTTCAAATTGAATTTAATTTGATTTCTTGATTATAACCATAAACCTCCCTACTTTATGCACCCCTATCTTTTCTATATTTGGCCTTGGTTTCAAGGAACAAACACGCAATTCAATCAATACGGGTTATTCATTGCGCAAGCTTAGCAACCAAATTTTAAAGAGAAAAAGACAAATATACTCTCAAGTAAATAGTATATAGATATCTTCTGTCATATTTTTGAGACATTGATGTTCCTGCCGTCCAAAAATTAGAGTATATAAGTTCTTTCACTCTAACAAGAAGATTAAATAGAAAAACGTGACGCAATCTTATCCGTCGATTCGATATTTAATAAATATCGAATCGACGAATAAAATTATGCCACGCGTATATTTGTTAGTATAAAAGATATATATGTTCTAATTTTAGACGACAGAAACACCAATATCCCAAAAATATAACGAAAGATATATACATATCATTTACAATAATTCAGAAATATATTTCTCCTTTTTCCCAATTTTAAAAAATGGTGGAAGTGTAGCTATAGCTCGTAATAGGCAACCAAACTATAATCATTTCCAAAATTTAGTAAAGCCCAAAAACTCATATCTAGTCCTACAAACATACACAACTTAATTTAAACATTCCACCTAAGACCCACACAAGAACATATTTACAGTCCAAAACTCCCATCTCTTAAGTCTACTTTCACATTACTGATTACACCGCTGTTGTTGGTACTCCTACACCCTTTTCTCCCACCGGAGGTACTCTGCCGGAGCCATATTCTGGCTCTCGGTAACCGGGACCGTAACGGCTGCTGAACATTCCGGCATGAAGCATGAGAACATAGAGGAGTTGTGTAAATGCTAGAACTATAGTGAATCCTTCAAGGACTCTAAGCCTCCATCCTCTCCACCCTCCTATATTTATCTCCTTGCATGCCAACCTACATAAATATGATTCATTAATTAACAAAAAAAAATATACACAAATGATTATCAAGTAATTATCGGCTAGTTTCTCTATTCCAATTTATGTAACACATTAAAAATCGAGCAATAATTTTACTTAAAAAACATCACGATTTCACGAGATGATTAAACGCAACCAAAGGCGGACCCACCTTGATGGATGGGTTGCACGTGCAACCGTTATATAACTTCAAAAAAAATCAAAGTACATATGTATATCTATACTAAGAAACTGACAAAAACTACGATAGTGCACTCATGGGCATAAGAGTGTTCTTGAGTTGCGACACAAAGTAGAGGAACCACCTGTGAGACCAGGGTTATTTCATTATTTTTATTTTAAATTTATAATAGATACGGTCACGTTTCGCTTCTTAAAAATCATATCTAATTTTCAAAGGTAAATTAAATGAGATTAAATTGATAATTTTAAATTAAAATTAAAATATTAAAAAACCATAAAAAATCCATCTCTTTCTTATATCGATGCAATGAAAAAAATTCTATATTTTAGAACATTGATCAATTTCATAAACTTGACATAGTTTTAAAAAAAATCTTTTTCCCTAAATTTCGATATTTAATCGATTGATGCAACATAAACTGAAACAGAGAACAGAGAAAATATTGTTTACCCAAAAGCTAGTGCAGTGACAGCCCAAGCAACAATAGCTGAGGAACCAGCAGCAGCAAGACTATCATTTCTCCATGCCCTCAAATGATTTCCACCCAAAACCTTCGATATTATTCCCAAAACCGCCGCTAGTATCGCGAATACTAGAAAGAACATCGTAGCTCCATTTCCACCAAAACCTAAAAAAAAAAAATTAAGAAAAAAATATACATGATCAAGAAAATGAACTACACTTTTTATTCATTTAATTTTGAGGTAGCAACCAAATACACACTCTAGAGTGTTTCAATTATTTGAGTTTCACACCTGAACTATGAAATGTACAAGTTTCATACTTCAACTATCAATTATTCGTTTTTTCTAAAGAAAAAGTCTTGAACAATGATGATATTTAAGTAAGGAAAAATGATAAGAAAAACTAACATACATCAGAGTGATAATTGAGGTATGAAACTAAAAAAATGAAATATTTAGAAGAGAGAAAGGAAGTTACTAGGATGATTAGTTTGGCCATTAATGTACTTATTGAGACACCAACTAGCAAAACCCAACACAATTAAATACATTATTAAGTTTAGAAACAATAATGGAGTTGCAACACTCCTAGCTACTGTCCTAGCCATTTTTTCTTGCACCAAAATTCTCTTTGCTTCCACAGAATTTCAGAAAATGGACACAACAATTAAAACAGAAACTTTAATCTATTATTTTTGGGGGCTTAATTTTTTTATTTTTTTTATAAATAAAAGGACAGAAATGCAAAGGTGGTGCAACGTAACGTATATAAGACAATTATACTATGATACGTGTTATGTTTAATTGCTTCAATGGTGAACAGGTGGAGGGACACGTGTCACATACTTGTTCTACTTTGGATTCTCTAATACTATTGATCATGCATGCAATGTCTATCAACTATAGCTAGAAATCAATTGAGTATTAATAATGATTAATAAATTTTATAGGTGAAATTTGGAAAGAGTACGATGTACATAGATTCATGACCTTATTCTTATTTTTGAAAAGGTAGAAACAGAGATGTATTCAAGATTTCGGAATGATGGTTGCACTATTATGAAAAGATGGATTTAATTGATTTGATATTTAGGTTCGTATTATTAAAAATATATAAAAATTTAAATCTATAAGTTCAAAATTAAAATGCTTAATTAATTAAAACGCCAAAAGTGCTACCAATAATCACTTAGAGAGGTGGTACCTAATTTTAGAAAGAAAAATAAAATAAAACATAGATATAAAATTCAAAT